AGTCCAGTTCCAAAGATGAGATGTGTCTTTATTAATCCCACATCAGTTTATATTGCTGCCATTCATAACATGACCCCCACAATGCACGGGTCAGGATCACAAGCTATTCAGGATTCAGCTCTATGTCTCCCCATGGTAGAAAGTCCTGCTGATTTAACCTGTTCCTGCCCACCTCTAAGACAGGGCAGCTCCACTGATGCATGGTGGCATTTTGGGTGTAACTCAAGTGGCCCCCGAGCCGCCAGCCCTGCCGAAATCACAGTGCTATCCAACCCTATTTGGAGTGAATCTAGTTAAAAGCCTTTATGGTGGTTTCAGCCACCGCTGGCTGAACACACCAGAGGTTAGGGCTCCTGATTTGTCTTCACAGGCTCCTACCAGTGCTGCTTCTTTTACACCCCTGTAAGGGCTCAAGAACTGCTCTAGCAGTGGGTACTGCTGGCAGCATTACCCTACAGCGCGACACAGCCCTGCTGCAAAGCCACGTCACAGAGAAATCCCCAATTCTCCTGGGTCTGAGCAACCCTGGCTTTGTGCTCCTGCCATTCAGCATCACAACCACAAGCTTTGAAGCCCATCATTTTGCACAAACACTGTGTTCTGCAGGTGTTCTTCTAGCAGCAGAGGACATATCCCTCTGTATGAGCTGACTTACGTACCCTTCAGTGGCACTCAACAAAAAAAAAAAAAAGCAGGTATGCTAATTTTCTGGAAGGAAGAGGGTGCTGAGTACTCATTATCAACTCACAGCAAACATTTCATTTACAAGTCAGAAGTAAGGTAGATATGTCACCTTAACTGCTCAAAAAGAATACCAGAAAGGGCAGTCTGTAGGTGTGGTACTTGCAAGGAAACAAAGCAATACAACACTATCTCAGAGCCTGAAGTTCTTGCAAAACATTTGTGCATTGCAGTTCCAAACAGCCCCAGGAAAAAAACCCTCCCTGAGCAGGCTGCAGCTGACCTCGGCTTAACACCAGCACAGCCACACTCGCCTGACCTTCTGGGTATCTCCCTAAACTTCTGCTTTGCACCTTCAGTGATGATCACAGCAGGGTCACAGGGCCTCCAAGTACTCTCTTGGCAGGGTAACAGGCTTGGTCCTCAGCTCTGAACCCTGCTTAGGATAGGTCTGCAATTTTCACAACAGTCCAAGAAAACACAGGGCCAAGAGGCCCACCTGAACAGCAGGTAAAGAGAGCTCTGTATTTTTTTAAGCCCACACTAGTAATAGACAGGAGAGAACTTGGATTCAAACAGCAGCAAAGGCAATTTTGATGGAACACTGGCACAGGCTGCTCAGGGAGGTTGTGGAGTCTCCTTCTCTGGAGATATTCAAGCCCCGCCTGGACAAGGTCCTCTGCGGCCTGCTGTACGTGACCCTGCTTCGGCAGGGGGGCTGGACTAGATGACCCACAGAGGTCCCTGCCAACCCCTACCATTCTGTGATTCTGTGAATTTTGCTCTAGCGTCTGGAGCCTCCTGGTGACCTTGCAGCCGAGTTTGCGCCGAGCTGAGTCCCTGCGCTGCGGCTGCCCTGGTCTCAACAACCGTGCCCCGCGCGCTTAGGAGCATTCAGAGGCAGACATTGCTGTCATTTAGGATCTTACCTCTTCTCTTGCTGATATGGTGGAAGCAGGAGTGTTGGGCACAGAGCTGAGCGAGGTGCTTGGTCCCGTCCCCGATGAACTCTGTGAGTCCCCATCTCCAGCAACATCATGAATCTCCCGAGCAAGGATGGCCACATCCTTCACCAGGGTTTGGCTGAGCCTAAAGCACAGGGCATGCAGCAGAGCCATTCGGACACACGATACAACAAGCTTCATGTTCACAAAATATAACAAGAGCAGCCACAACACATTTGTGGGAACTATAACCTCTGCAGAGGCTGGGGAAAGCAGGTTTTTTGGGGTGCCTTGGCAGGGTGCTGAGGAATGCTCTGGCTGCATACAAAATAAATTCACTCCCCTCCTGAACCCAGTTTCAAAGTAAAGATTCGATAAAAAGCAAATTCTAGTGACTACACACTACCAGAAAGTATTGAGGACAATCCATAAAGAAGCTTTATGTTATTGCTTCCCCACCCATCTCCTTTACTTTTTCATTTTCTGTTTTTGTTGGGTTTTTTTTGTTTGTGTGTTTTTTGTTATAGAACACAGTCAATTTTTCTTCTTGGGACTTCTTTGTTTTCCCTTAAAAAGCCCATACAAGGAAAAAAGCTTTCTTCTTTGTTACTTTAACAATAAAACCCCAGATTCTTTCCTTCTTCCTTGTGGTTTATAGACTGCTACTCAAAATATGCCTCCACGTTCTCCAGAAGGGCTGAAGGATTACGAGGGTAAGCATGGCATACCTCAGAGGGATCTGGTTTTCAGAAACCAAGTCTTGAAAATTCAAACCCCTTGACACGTGTCCAGTTAACACCCGGAGACTGTAGCACTCTGCTCTACTTGCTCTAGATCTCAGAAGCTTTTTCCTAAATCTCTGGATTGTTGCTAGCAGAGCTTAAAAATACCTCAATAGACCAAAAGTAGCTGTTATGGTAACTTTAAAGAAAAGCTTCCGAGAGGAAAAAATCATCTTACAGCTAGCCAGTTTCATCTGGAAGACACTTGGTTCTTTAAATGAAAAAACAAGCAATGTGATAAATCTGTCAGTTCATGAAAACATTTCCTCAGAAAGAAAATGCATAATTGAACTAATAAAAAGCAGTTTGATCTCCCTGCCTAAGGTGCCCCCTGCCCGCTGCTGGTTTTGACAGAGCTGTCGCCCAACGCATCCATTACGTGACTCACTCACTGTAAACAAGTGGCATTTTCCCTTTTAACTCTCTCCCGACTCCTCCAAACCCCTCCCAGTTAATTTGGGAGCACCAACGGAAATCAGAACTGCAATTACGGAGCAGACTCCGTGACCGAGCCCTGCGACGTGCAGCGCCAGACAAGCCTGACGCAGCCATTTATTTATAGCTGCTGGGCTCCCAGACGCACGCATGGTGCGGTACGGGCAACGCAGCCTGGTTCGAAGACTGACACGCCTGTCTAGCAGCCTGACAGCTATGTTCACACAAGAAAAGCCCTTTCGAGATCACTGCGGCAACTGATAATGGGTGACGTGGAAATGCTGATCAAAACCAGACAGAAGACGGATTCCTCAGTCAAAAGTATCTCAAGTATGGCCGGTACAATGGAAGACCAGTATTTCTGGAAAGTTGGCATAACACAGTTGCATATGAGAGATGTCAAACCTCAAATGCCACTGTTTAAAAAAAGAATCTATTTGCTTTACTGCTGTGGTCCTCCAGGCAACCACCAGACCACCAGTATACAATAGGTCCTGTATCCAGGGACATCAAACTAAGCAAGGACTCATTTGTACACAGGGCCCAGACAAATTTTCTTGCTTGGATTCAGTTGTGCCAAGCAAAGAGGTTTCTGCCCCGCAGCAGCTGCTTACTGCTCCCTCATGGCTTCAGGCAAAGCCACTTCAACAGTTTACATATTCAGTCTTGCTAGTCCATTTGACTTCCTCTGCAAAGAAGGAGGACAGCTGACACCAACACCAACGGTCTATGCACACACAGTGACTTCCAGCAGAAAGAAGAGACAAGCAGGTATGTTGACAGACCTAGAATTACGAGAGGAGACCTGTCCACAGCCTGACAAGAAACAAACCAAGATACCATGCCCTGCACCTTGGGATCTTCTAGAGAGAAGGTTCCACCAGCACAGCCTAGCCCAGGCTGTTAAAGCTTCACGAAAACCTTCAAGTCTGAACAAGCTCATGTTCAGATATGAAGGAGAGGGACGGCACACAAACAACAGGAGAGTGCCTCTCTTTCTACCTCCACACCTGGCTTCGATTTGAACACCAAGGAAAACTCAATCCATTTTCAACATGTGGGTCAATACGTAAAGCCCCACCTCACCTGGCTATTTCTGCTATCTCTGCTGTTTGCGCCATGAAGTTGTAGGCGTCAGGGTGGTCATCAAAATCTTCATCGTCATCCGTTTCTCTGCCATTGTGCTTCTGCTTGCTCAGCCCAGAGCCACGTATCCTCGGTGTTTGTGTGGCTGTTGAAGTATGGGAGCGTTTGTGTTTAGGGGAGCTGTGATTTGAGCCATATTCTTCCTCCGAAGTAGAAGTGTAATCTGAACCCTGTGGTCTCCGCCTTGATGCTTATAAAAAATGAATTGGCTTCAGATCAAGGAAAGTAGTAAAGAATAACTACAAAAGGACAAAAGGGTAGCACAAAACTAGCCCAAGAACACAAGGAAAGGAGAGTTTCTGTGCAGATTTTTACTTAAACAGCACATTCTCAGAGCTTATTTCAAATTTGAGAGCTTCTACAGCTCACATTCACTATACAAATTTGGAGTGGGAAATTCCAATGGAAAAGCAAAATGACTGTGTTAACAACTCCAATCTAGTAAATTATTACCACAGACTTGGCTTTCCATGCACAGAAGCTCTGTGTATTAAGTAGCACACGTTTCAGACTCCTCATAGTGCCACAGAAGTCCTTTTCTTAAAAGAGCCCAATTTTCAAGCCTGCAGACACCTTACCAATTAGCTGCAAATAAAAGCAAAAGGGTTTTTTTTGAGTGAAGAACATACTACTGTGCTTGGTGTTATTTGCAAGAGTCCACGCCCCCACATTCACCTCCTGCCTCGCCAGTCACCATTAATGACACGCTATGAGAAAGAGCAATCAGAGACAGGACCAGCTCCAACCCCTGGAGCCGAGGGCAAGCTGCCCACTTAACCTAACCGGTTCTGCAGATCTGTAGACACCCAGGTCCTCCTTGCACGGGAAGCACCGAGATGTCGTTATGTGAAAACTGGGCTCCCGGTGCTCGCTGCCTCACTGTACTCTCTACAGATACCGCTTCACTCCCTTCCATCCTTCCCCAGAGAATGAAGACCCACCAAACACAGAACCAGCTGAGTTATTTAAAATTGCAGCACCTAAAAGCTTCACTATGTTACCAAGATTATCATAATGCTGAAACACTGCAAGCGAATTAAGCCAGCATCATAGATCATACAAACAAAAATAATGAATTTGGCATATCAGATGCAGGTAGAAACTACAGATAATTACTGCATAGTGAAAAAAGTATTCCTAGGCATTGCTATTGCAGCTACCGCTATATAAATGTCTTGGCTTAGGATTAAAAAATATTTATATACACAAAAAATGAATTTACTTATATTCCATCAGTAGAGTTTGGGGTTTTTTTTAAAAACCAGGTTTAGAATCAAGAGGTCACCCTGTCACTGAACAGCAATTTTAAAATGAAGAGCCTGATTTTCCATCCCTGTACGCCAAGGGAAATCAGAATCGACTCCCTGAGTACCATTCAAATTGCACTGAGTAAACAAACCGTGTATACAGAGGAGGAGGGGAAACAGGCACTTCGCTTTCAGAATTGATAACTTGGATTATTCTGATGTTATCTGTGCGTTTCACACAAAGTTACTTCAGATGGCCCGACAACCTACTGGCGCTTCTTGTCTTGTGGCCAGATAGTTCATTGTGTTCCTATGTTACAAAGATTAGCTTCCTCCCACTGGGAGAGCTGGAAACTACTGTGGTTAGCTAAACGCTTCAAGAAATCCTTGAACAAGTCAGCCACATTTGCTTTCTTAGTCGCAAGGCCTGACACTCCATGTTTTCAAGGGTTATTGTATCATGTTACAAAGTGTCTTGATGGCACAGTGCAGTAGTTCAGTTTACCAACGTTTCACTTTCGTTCCAGGAACCAGGAGCTAGGTGTTGCTTCACTATCATAGCATTAGTATAGGAACATGCATCACGCACTTGGTACCGCACGATGAAGCACGAAGTACACGAGTATACTTCAGAGTTTGCGCAAGGTCCGCAATCCGATCAAGGAATTAGGAGGTTAGTATTTTAAGAGCAACTAATTCGAAGAAAGGATTAGGATCATTTGCTGCAACTATGCACAAGGAAAGGTGTTAGCACGCTGCTACAAAGCTCTGGAAATCAAAAACCAATTCATTTAAACCAAGAACTGGCCGACACTTATCATTTTTCTCCACATGATTTGAAGTCTGCAGTCCAAAGGCAGAGGGAGTGCAAAGAGTGCCTCCTGTTTGGAAAACTCTGACCGCATTATTTTGTTTTAGATTTGTTATTGTTTAACAAGAAGTCAATAATAGCATCATCTCAAAAAAAGGCAAGAGAAGAGACTGTACATACTCTTTAGCTTATTTACATTCTGATTTACATGCATATACAAATGTGCAAGAAAAAAAATCATTGCAATGAAAGGGAAGCTGGATGCAGTAAAACAATCCAAATCAAAACTAGCAGCAAATAACATTTTTTAGCATGCAGTAAAAATTCATAGTGCAAGAAGGATAATTATTCCAACCATATGAAAGTATACGAAACGGATATACCCAGAACTCTAAGACTCCTCACAAAACCACAGATCTGGTGAAAACAGCACCCGTCTCAACAGGCCTGCAAATCTCAGTCAAAGGGGTCCTTCCCACTCCCTGCCCCCCATCATTCCTACAAACCTAAGCAAACCGATCTGCTTTGCCACATCCATGGTAGGTCGAAGAGTACGGGCACAGACCAGGACTTAGACCAAAGGTGTCGGGGACGATCTATGATTACCCATCACCATCTTAAGAGCGGTCATCCGCATTGTCCACACCTTTTCATTAAAGGCTGATTTCAGTACGACAAATGTTGATATGGCAAGGGTCTGCTGAATGCACAGCTAGGGGGTAAGGCAGCCCCCAAACCTCCGCTACGTGGGAAACACAACTGTGTACCCGCCTTGCCTATGGCAAAAGCAAATGGAACACACAGCAGAGGGAATCTCTTGGGGCAATCATGTGTAGGGTCCAGCCCCACATCTGCATTAACAGGAAGAACAAGGGAACAACCTTCAAAACAGGGGCATTTTATTTCTTGTTTTCCTGATTCAGACACCTTCAAAACTGCCAGCTTGGACATCAGCTGCCATTAACACCATAATAAGGTTTCTCAGAGCAGACTTTGATGTTTAGAAGTCAAAGCAAAGCAGCACATAATTCCTTGTAGCACTGGAAAGGCATTAAATTCTACTTTTTAAAACAGAAAAATGGCTAAGATACTCTTGTCAAATAGGCACTGGCTGCTCAAAAAACAGTCACCAAGGAAAAAAAAAAAAAAGAAAAATAACTCTTTGCAATACCTTCACGGACAACACTGCAATAACATCTCACTGGGTATGGGAGATGCTCTGCTGTCTCCAAACCCACAGGAAATTTCAACCTCCTTAACGCTTGTTGATGCAGGCTTTAGTACTCACTCCTATTACTGAGATACCAATTCTTGGCACCCATGTGCAGCCTATAAATCAGAAAGAAGGGAACAGGGGAGAAAGATAAAGCACGAGCACTTACTGGACGAG